TTACCTAAAGGCCTAGGGGTTTGTCAACAAAAAGTAGGTTAAAGTGACCTACATTCTGAATTTAAAATCATATTACCTGTATACTTTTAACACTATCACATACACATGTAGGAACACCAAACATAGTTGATACGCTTTGGGGCTCAGGAATGTGGAAACCTAAAAGTAGGTCACAGTGACCCAAATTTTAAGTTTTCATATATTTTACATCAAATCTTTTTAGCTTACCTGATAAAAGCCTAAGAACAAAGTATGTGACCCTCCCTGTTAATATGCCCCTTCACCTGGGATATGTTGAACAAAATGTCACTTTGACAATATTGTTCAATTAATCAGGTCTTTGAATATGTTGACCTAAATGTAAGTCACAATGTCAATATTGTTCAATTAATCAGGCCTTTGAATATGTTGACCTAAATGTAGGTCACAATGACAATATTGTTTACATGTAATTGATCAGGAGCAATTCCAAGGCCTTAAGCCTGTTGTTTGATATTTTTCATTAATTAATCTCCTTCAGTTTTCTAAACTTGTGCCAGCCGCCATATCATATATACATGTACTATGCATTTGACATTTTATATTCCAGTTGTTATTTTTACAAAGTAAAAATAACATTTCACATTGCACAAATATCAATTTCATTCACAGATAAAATACAGTATTTCACTGTTGAAAATTTAATAGGTACACTAATTAATAAACTTCTTTCATTAAAGAAAGAAAGTTCTTTGAAAACTTAACAATGTGTTTAAAATAATATTTGAGTCCATTTGTTAATTAATCAATAAAATTCACAGGCACTTGATGTAAGTTACATATTTTCCTAATGCAAAAAAATTATAATCAAGGCCCTTCCTATTCAAGTTAGGTGGTTAATATATTTTTATCTGTAATAAGAAAAATATATACTGGTAATATCAAGTGCTTGTGATAAAATTGATATCAAATGCATATCTGATAAAATTCATATCAAATGCATATCAGAACTAGACAATATTTTTGTAATACTAATTTAATTCAGTCATTTCATGATCATACATGTACACTCCTATTTACTATCAACAGGGTAATTGAATGAAGTCCAGTGCTAAGCAAATTAATGCATTGAGGTACATGTACATATAAAAGACAAGCATTTGAATTACTTCATGACCCAGCCCGAAAAAGCCAATACGTACACACTCCAAAGAGAAGATCAGCTAACGATGCTGTTCCTCTTAGTGATTGAAGAACAGTTTAAGGAAATCTTTGCATTTAAATTGCATCATATAGCATCTAGTACAGGAAAATTTTTTATAACTTAACACAAGGATGCACTAGCTCTCACGAATTAAACTGTTGTCTGTAACCTGTTTTCCCATCTCTAAAGGAAATATTGTTTTTATTGTTTAATTAATTAATAATTTTATTATATAAATTTTATAACAAAAGATCTGTGGGCCATAATGCTCACCTTAGTCCCTTGGCCCTTAAAAGTTAAGTTGAAGTTAAATAGTTCTCTGTATCAGCATAAATATTAAGTTTTTATAAAAATATCTTGAATACTAGTTATAGTTTCTTTGAAACGAGCTGTGAAGTGATGGAAGGACAAACAGAAGGGTGGAAGAGTCTGACATGACAAACCCTTTCTGCCCTGGCCAAATTTGGGAGGGGGGGGGGTAGCAAAAAAATAAACCCTTAATTTCCTTGTAAAATATTGATCCCCTGTTGTGGAGACCCCACCTTCTACCAGGTAACATGATTTGAACAATATTGAATACGTACTTGATATAAATGCATGCATCTAATACCCCTAGTCATGACCCCCCATCCCACCCTGTTCTTGAAAACATTTTCCGTATATTTTCCCATGTAAAATTTTCAATCCCCTTTTATGACCCCACCCTACCCCAAGGAGCAATGATTTGAACATTTGAGTCTGCACACTCTGAGGATGCTTGCATCTGATTACCTGGTAATATCACTAATTACAGTCATATATATTCCCATGTTTTTGGCTCCATATGTGTGCCTCACCCTGCCCCCGGGGCTTTCTATTGAATAAATTTGAAACTGTACTTCCTTGGGATGCTTGCAAATTAATATCACAATATTACTAGGAATGGCATTCTTGTTATAAGAAGAAGATTTTCAAATATTTGTCCTACATATTCCCATGTAAAACTTAAATACCCTTTGTGTGGCCCCACTCTAACTGCAGGGGCAATGATTTGAACAAACTTGTACCTGCACTACATAAGGATGATTTCATCTTAATATAGCTTATCATGGCCCTCCTGTTCTTGCAAAGATTTTAAAATATTTTCCCCCATATATTCCTAGGTAAACTTCAATCTCTTGTATCCCTTTTGTGGCCCCACCCTACTCCCTGGGCTGTAATTTGAACAGGCTTGAATCTACAAAATGTCAGGAAGCTTCTACATAAGTTTCATCTTTTCTCGCCCAGTAGTTCTAGAGATTTCAAAATAAACCCACCAATTTTCATGATTTCTTAATTATCTTCTCTTGAAAGAGGGCATGGCCCTTCATTTGAACAAACTTGAATTCCCTTCCCTCAAAGATGCTTTGTGGTAGTAAGATTGGTTGAAATTAATGAGTGGTTCTGGGGAAGAAGATGAAAATGCCTTTGGCTCAGGTGAGCTAAAATTCTGCTCTTCCTAAGATTAATTACATGAAAAATTTCAATCATTATGAATTTGTATTCTTTCCCACTTTGAAGCATAAACTGGAAATAAAAAATGTTACATATACATGTACTTCAAACAACTCAGTGTTGTTCATATTCCAACACACAATACTAGTATATTGTATATCCAACCCTTGGGCAATACACACACACACACACACACATATATATATATATATATATACATATACATATATATATATATATACATATATATAGGCGGGGGGGGGGGGGGGGGGGATTGATTTTCAGTCTAGAATGTGTAGAAATCTTAACTTGGTTAGTTTTTATTTGAAAAGAGCCTGCATACTGCAGCATGATTGAACATACAAGTGCCACTGATTAAGAATTTGATCTGCTATACCACATTTTATGACACATCATTTGAAAAATGGAGAGTCTTTTAGAATGTACAATTTTTAAAACATTCCACATCTTACAAAATATTCCATGTTTATGTGGTGAATGCAAACTTCAGAATCAAGATTTATGAACTGTTCTTGATGTTTAGATGATACTGATTCAAAGCACTTGGCTACAGCTTGCTGAATGTTACTTCTTTCATAAACTCTGTTCTTTATTTTACCAATTACAACACAAAAAAAATATTGTCAATCAAAAATATTTTAATTCAAAATGTGACATATTTAAGTTCTCTACAAAAATGATCACAGAAAGTACAGAGTGTGATAATATGCTGGTAACATCTACCAATGTCTGCCCAGTTCAGTTTCCTCTTTCCAAATTAAAGAAAAAAGTTTTAAATTAACATCATGAGGACATAACAGAGTGGTTTCAATCTTATCTGCATGCAGCTGTATAATGTATACAGGAAAATTTCCGCCCAATTTTATTTTTGCCCCTTTCTCCCTCATCACAAGAGGGTATATTTAAAAGGGGGCAAATTCAAGAAATCAGCATATAATGTATACAGGAAAATTTCTGCTCCATTTTATTTTTGCCCCTTTCGCCCTCCTCACAAGTGGGTGTATTTAGAATGGGGCAAATTCAAAGAAATCAGCATCATCTCTAACAGAACTGTTTCTGTGCAAATTTAAAACAGGTTAAATTTGTTTGCAAGTGTAAAAGGGCGATAATAAAATGTGGCCAAAATAAGCCTGTATGCAATCCCCCCCCCCCCCCCCCCAAAAAAAAAAGATTTTAAAACTTGAAAATTTGAAAAATCCATAAAAATTTTCAATAATTAATGAAGAATTTTATGCAGCAAAAAAAAAAGAGGGAAAAAAAAGTGTGATGATTCAATTAATATTCAAAAAACAATACTTGGACAACAGAGTACATTATGTAAGAAAATGAAAAAAAAGCAAGAAAACAAAACCAAGAAGAAAAAAAATAACACTTTTGTTGATGATAAATTGAACCCTGCACCCATTACCTCAGGTAAATGTGGCACTCTTCAGAAATGGAGTTATAACAAAACTAGACCACTCAAATGTGTGTGTTTTAAATGTTCTGAAAAAAAAAAAGAGTTGCACTTTCATTTCAGGCAAATTAAAAGGGATCATCATGAAAAGTTATTCTTGGTACACAACAATCAACCTTGGCTCTTTTTTTTGCGAGTTCTACATGTACTGTGGAAAAGAGTGGTCTGAACATTAAAAGACATGAATATACTCAAGCATGACAAAGTAATCACTACAATTCAAGGAAAACTTTTATATTTCCAAATTTATACACACCTGTGTTTGTCATTTGTTTATCATGTCATCTAAATTTTGTTTAAGTGGCTCTTTCAATTCAAGCACATATTTGTTGTAAAAATAACCATGCCTCTTATAATCTTGAAAGCATCATGTTTTTAATTAATTCTTTTTCTGTGAATTGAATAAGTTTCTGAAAGTACTTGTCAATTATTTTTTATTCCAAACAATCTGTATTATTTAATTAAATGGATCATACATTATAATTTAGACACATTGTATTATTTTCAACATCATGGAAATCAAATTTACTACATACACTTTTAAAAATAGGATATCAATCACACAAATGAAATTTTATAACAAAAGTTACACCATGACAGGATGAACATTCACACATGCAAAAAATTTTTAATGATTAATATGATGAGAAACTGACAAAAATAGCACTTTAATATCCCACATAAGCATTCAAATGTACAATGTACAAGTACGTCAAAAATTTTCAAAGCTTTTTCTTTGTCTGCATTGTCTACAAATAATCTACTCATATATATATATATATATATATATATATATATATATATATATATATATATATATATATATATATATCCTTCCCGACCCCCCCCCCCCCCCCCCCCAAAAAAAAAGAAGAAAAAAAGAAGAAAAATGTATCATAGAGCATCAGAAAACATCAATAACTTATAGCATGCTTCTTAAGTGTGCAATAATAAATGACACAAATGGCTGGGTTTTTTTTTATCATTTTCCCCCATAGCTACCAATTTTGAAGTTCTCCTGCTTTTTTTTTTTTTTTTTTTTTTTTTAATTTTTAAATTATTTCTACCAAAACCCTCTTAAAAAATTGAAGCCTGGACTAAAGGAAAGCTTGGACTAATACATGTATAAAACTTTAAATCCTTACTATATCCATCTAAAGCAAAAACCAAGAATTTAAATGAAATAATTTAACAAGATCTAGAATTTTTTACAAGTATGACATCTTGCATATCATTTCTTTCCATGAATATATATTCAAAGTTAGCTTATATTCATATCAACATTTGGCCTGGTAAAAATTAAATAAAATCTGAACTTCTATCATGGATGGAAAGAATATACAGAATTTCTCATTCAAAACATTTTAATTTTAGTACACATGTACTTCATTCATAATGTTAAACATATACAACTAACCTCCTCATTGGAATGTTCATATTATTAGGTTTGTGTATAAATACAAAAAATAAATTTAAAATTTGAGTATTTAGTGTACATCAAAGCCTTTTAATTTGTTTTACTCTCTTTTTTTTAATTTGTTGAGATTATTAAAAAAACAAAATTTAATTTATTCATAGTTATATTTTAGTATGTTTGGGACAAATCTAAAATATAATTAGAGATATAAATGTACATATTTCAAAACAAAAAAATTAAATTTGTAAATTGTTAAAAAAAAAAGAAGAAGAATTTCTGCATTAATGTCATTTTTACACCTGTTCATATCCAGAGCGACTTCGTTTTCGTCCAATCAAATAAGCTATCAGGACAATGATGACCAGTCCAGCTAGCGCAGCTCCAACTGCAATTGGTACAATGCTGTTAGTCTCCTCATCCCCTGCACATTCAGTGGCAGCTTTTGATGAAAAAAGATACCCATCTTTAACAAATGTACCAGTAAAAACGAAGGTCTTGCAGACTTTACAGATGAATATTCTACATATGTCAGTTGTTAAATTTCAAATAATATGTGTATACACTTTGTCTTATAATATTTACATTCAGTATACTTTTCATCTCTGAAATCTATTAGAAATCTAAAATGTTCAATCCCAAATATTTACAAAATATTGCCAATGTTTTTCCTATGTCTTTAAATGACCATACTAAATAAATTGGCATTCAATTTTTGATGCCATGAGGTTGATCATGTGATCAGACTTTCTTGCATACAGAAAACAATTCAAATGAGACATTTGGAAGGTCTAGACTCAATAGACTGTGATGTCACATTTTGAGAATACACAATAGGAATTATATAACACTTTAAAAGAATTAGGAACACCATTTACTCAGTTTAATTGAAAACAATTACCCAATTTAACTGTTGTAAATTTATTAATTTTACATTTACAATTTAAATATCTTTTTTTCCCTGCAATATTCATTTGTGCTAAACTTTTCCCTGTCAAAACAGCTGAATCATACGGCTCTTCAGTTTATTTCCCTCAACAGTTCGTGCATCTCAAAATTTACTGTAAATCACTTTTTGTGAGAACTTTATTATGTTAGGCCATCTGCTCACAAAAATTTCTTCTCTTGTTTAATTCTATTACTAATGATTATATAGAACAATAACTAAAATTTGTGAAATTTTGTTTCGCTTATAAAGACCAAACAACAATCTCAAAATAATGTGTCATAAAAATTTACTGATCTACAGTAAATTCCCGCAAAATTTACATGTAAAGTCACAATATAAATGAAATTTATCACCTTAAAACTGTAATAATTTCATTTGTAAAGAATTTCATCACAAAACTTGCAAAAAAATTACACATCATAATGACTACAGTGTATATGACATATATGGTAGTCTGTCATAAGCAAAATCTTACCATCAAAATCTGTTGTGTTTGTAGTTCTGAAAGCCTGGAACTGAAGATTAGTGGTTACCATAGACAATCCATTCTCAAGAGCAAAGGTGGTGTCTTTGTTGCACATGTAGCTCTTGCTTGAAGATGTTGACAGGAAAGTCTGGTTGGTAGTCACTGTCTCAGTTCTACCAACAACTGCAAAACACAAAGCAAATGACAATTGTTGTTCAACATATTAATCACTAGATAAACTTTGTTTACAACTAGGATATGGATAAACTTTGTTTACAACTAGGATATGGACACTTTCGACCTCAAAAAAGTTAACAAGACCATTCCTATCAAATAGAAATACATTATCAATTTAGTTTTAAACTGCGTGAGTATCATCTAGTGAAATTCTCCGGTTTGGGATTTCCTCCACAATTGCTCATGGGCCATAACATTAATTCACACTACTTCACAACCTTTCAACTAGTGTTTTCCCTAAGAACCCCAGCTACCAGCCAAATTAACCAATTCAAATGTTATAAATGCCACTTAGAATTAAAAACTTTATGAAAACAATTGTATGGTCTGTAAAGATTTTGTCCAAAAAACTCAACCGCTAACCTGTTACAATTGATCCCTGACCCTTTACACTGAAATAAAGGGAAAACACTGCCTTATAACCCTTCATTCTAGCCTCATATTGTACAGAAAGAACTGGGCTTAAATTCAATCCTAAATATTTGAGGCTATTTTGATATGCAGTTCAAAAATTATGTTGGAAAAATGGGGACTCTAGTACATGAAATGGTTAAAAAAATTCATGTGAACATAAGCTGATGACAATTATAATCTGAAAGCTATAAATCTGTTGTTGCTAAGATATTTCATTTGTAAAAGACTTTAGACCTCTCTATTGTGGCCCTAATCTGGCCCTTGGAACCAATGGACAATAGTATAAATCAGTACAAGATAAAGATACATGCATAGTAACTTAACAATTTTGAGACCTGGCCTTGGGATCACAAGACAGCCTTAGACTTAAGGTATGTCACTCGTGAAATTTGTTATATCAAGGATTTTTTGAGAAGTATATTTTAGATAAGTACTCATATAGTATGACTCAAAATCGCAGAGAAAATAGGGGTCAGTGTGCATCTAACTGAGCTACGGTACAATTAAGTTGACCTTTTTGCACTTAAATTGTAACTCTTTGGTTAATCACTTTAACCGTTATCATATTTTATAAGATGTAACCATGGCAATAAACATAATCTTATTTTACGTAAAATAGTTTGAATTATATTTATCATTGAACAAATCATGCAAATTAATGCGCGTAAATTATTGTGTGATCTTTTTGCACTAAAAAAGTCTCATATTTGGGGTATTAAAAATCTAAATAGGCAATAGAATATTTTCTTGTATCAAACTTTTTACGACTTAAGTGCTGATCGGTCAAAAGTATCGAGTAGTTTAAAATAATGAAAGAAAAAGTTGGGGTCAGTGATGTAAATTTTGAAATATTGGTCAAAATATGCGATTTTCAGGCAAAAAAATGTGTAAATTTTATCTCGACTTCCTTAATATATCTTCATTTCTTGGCAATGTTTGTTGAGCGAAGGTGTAAATTTTGTTATAAAAATATAAATTGAGACCTATATTTAATATTCCAGGCATATCATAACGGAAAATGTTCTCTGAGTAAAAGTATGTGAGGCTGAAGTTCCAAGATATTAAATTTAATAAATGTGTAGATTTGCAGAATTTTCTGCTAAATATCCTTCCGCCACAAGAAATAGTCCCTGATAAATCTTGCTTCTTTGTGAATTTTTAAGCAGTTTTTTAATTGAATGTTGAACATTTTACATTGTTTAATTTAAATATGTTATAAAGATTGAATTGTAATAAATAGTTTTTAAGTAAGAGGTTCTGACTGAAATTTTCTAAATGGCTGACGAGTGACATACCTTAAATCAAAATTTCAATAATCTGTATATACTGTAAGAGTTTTATGACAGGAAATAAAACTTAATTTTCAGACAAGTTTTATGATGCAATATTGAATAGTTTTTTTTTTATTTTGGACTTTTTGTTTTCTAAATTCACCAAAGAAAAGTTTTGGCTTATTCTTAATATGTTGCTTGTCATTCTACTTCCATCTATTTTAAGTTTTTTTAAAAAAAATTATTCATGACTTACAAAGAACAAGGCCTTTAATACTGAACTCTCTTATCAATTTTAAAAGTAGGTACTAAATCTCAGACAATGATGAAAGCTTTCTTTTCACTCAGTGAGAAACTTACTGCTGTCGTCAACATTCATAAATAGGTTGTTGTTGTAGTCAAACGTCAGTTCAATCTGTGAGATGTCGTAGTTACCCACGCCCTCGTCAGCTGTTAATAGATCCGTCTTATTTTGCTTCTTGTTAGATGAGAAGTACATTTTTAATTCCCAGGTTTCATAAAAGCTGATTGTCAACTCCTGAGTGTATAATCCATTTAGAGTTGTGTCGCATTCACCACTAAAATTGGCGTTAGTTGGGACTAAAATCACTGCTACTGTATTCTGTAATAATCATACCACACACAAAATGTCAAGTAAAATTCAATTCTTTCTACATACATGCATAAGAGTCTTAAAAAATCTCATATTTGTATATATTTTTCTGTATTGCTCTAAATTTTATGTTCATCATAATATGAAACATCCACTCAAGGGAGTTGAATAACACTTTTGTATAGCTTTGTATGAGTGCCCCCCCCCCCCCCCCCCTCCAAAATAAAAAGCTGTCTGATTCAATTCTTTGTCAATGCTAAATACATGATAATTGGATTCTTCTTTTGATGCAGACAAGTTTTACATTCATTTTGAAACCATAATGCAATGAATGTGGTCCGAGACTTTACAGAGAAACTACATGCTAAACCTGTTAGCCTTATACACAGTTCAATTTAGAAATGAAAATCGTCTATTCGTTAAATGCTTGTATTTTAACAATTCAATTATTAAAGCATATATGGTACATCACATAATTTGCAACTGCATACTTTTGATTAAAAACTCACCCCCTTTGTTGAATTATAAGGAATGTGGAACTGGATGCCTCCCTTAAATACAACACAATTCTTTTTTCCATCAGACGCAAAATATGTTTCAACTGGGGGTTTCCCTGGAGCCGGCTCATCTGGAGCATCAGCTGCACAGTCATATCCTGAAAGGTAATAAATGAACATTCTATAATTGATTTATTAACTTTTTCCTTAATATTTCAGCTGTTTCACTGACAACTAGGTATGTTTTTTGACAGCCTTATAGACTGAAACAATTAAAGCAAAAAACTTGTATTGTAAAATTCTTGAATGCTCATGCCCAAAACTGTTACCTTAGCTATCATTTTCTTCCTGATAAATGAATACTGAAAGCCTACTTTTTTCCACAGGGTCATAATTCCACAGAATCACAATAAAAAAGCTTTTTTCCTCCCCAAAATAGGTTGAACTTAAAGGTCTAGGTCACAAAGGCAAAGGGACAGTCTTGTCACAAGGAATAAACAAGTCAAGTAAAATATGAATGTCCTTGAACCAACCGCTCAAAAGTTTATTTATAGCCGAGGTTAACTTTTTTAAAAGTAGATCAAGGTCAAAATGTTGGTACCCAAGATCTTGTCACAAAGAATGCAGATGTGAAATATTCAATTGTTCAGAAGTTATGGCCAGGTTTTTTTTTTTAACTTTGTTCAAGTTTTTCAAAAATAGGTCAACTTAAGAGTCAAGGCCATGAGGTCAAAAACATTGGTAACCAATGATAGGTCTAATCACAAGGAAGATGCAAGTGAAATACAAAAGCCCTGTCAGCATCCATTCAAAATTTAGGGCAAGATAAAAGTTTTTGAAGACATACAGATAACAAGAAGCCCAAGGGCCTTAACGGTCACCTGAGTACAATACAACAATTTAGAGGATCCACACACTGATAAATGAAGCTTTGTTGCCCAAAAGCAAGAAAAATAGTATGATAAGCATCAACAAAATAAGTGGTATAGAATCTATTTGTCCCCAATTTATCACTATTACCATACAGACTATTAACAAAATGTCTATTTTTAACCCCATATTATTACTTCTCACATTGGTCTCTCTTGGCCTTTGAAGAACATTAAAAAAGATAAGTTATTTTTGCCTCACTTTTATTCATCTATTATTTCCAAGTCTACCTGATCATTAAAACTATGAAAGTACTTTTTGTATTATACAATAAATATTCTTGCATAATTCTCTTATTCTATTAACCTTTCAAATACATTATTTACAGTGATTAATTATCAAAGGTGAATGGCAAAGGGGAATAACTTTGCTCAGCAGAATACAAGTTCATAGAGCCCTGGCCAGGACCAGAATACTTGACTAAATAATCCAGGTGTTCAAAATTCTGGTAAAAAAACCCTTGCATATTAACACTTTTACTCTGTTTGCCTCGAATATGCCCAGAAGAATACAAGATTTTCAAAGAAATGCATGTTCACTATGTTATTAAATAAATAAAGCCCCCTTCCCCTTTACACCAGAAAATCTTACCCAGGGGCCATGAACTAATATGGAAGAAGCACTCTGCTCATCATAACTATACACTTGTTTCTTTGCTTTATTACCAGTAGTAGAAAAAATATTTTGAAAGAAATTATGCATTTTCACTATAAAATTATTATTTGATACCCAGGAGTAGAGAAGAAGATTTTCAAAGAATTAATGCATTTTCACTATATAATCAATAGAGCCCCGCCCTAACACCAGAACCCCTGACCCTCAGGCCATGAAATTTACAATTTTGGAAGAGGCATTCTTGCTCTTAATAACTATGTACTTAGTTAGTTTATTTTATACCCAGGAGCAGAGAAGAAGATTTTCAAAGAAATAATGCACTTTCACTATTTGATCTATATAGCCCCACCCTAGCACCAGAACCCCTGACCCTGGGGCCAAGAATTTCAAAATTTTGGTAGAGGGCTCAATGCTTATTACAATGATGCCAACAGTTTGACTGCTTGATGTCCAGGAATAAAGAAGAAGATTTTTAAAGATTGCATTAATTTTGGTGGTTTTAGCCCCACCCCTCAGGCCCCAGGGGGGCAGGGACCATGAAATTCACAATTTTTGTTCCCCTTCACCCATAGATGCTATATGCCAAATTTGGTTGAAATTGGTTGAGCAGTTTTAGAGAAGAAGCTGAAAATGTTCAAAAGTTAACGCACGACGACAGACAAACACGGATAGCAATAGGTCACCTGAGTGACTCAGGTGACCTAAAAAGATGGACAGACCAAAACCATCTGATTCTGATTATTGGTATAAAAACTTGAATCCCCTAGCTTAACCCAACTTTGCTTTGTGGCAAGATTGGTTGAAAATGGTCAAGAAGATCTGATTTACAGTCAGTCCTCTACCAGAAAAGCTCATTTGATTGGCTCAGGTGAGCTAAAGAAAGATCACATTACTACAACTATCTTCAATGATCAATTTACTGTATTCTTTCCATTTATAAAGGTTATTAATTATTGATATATTAGATTATCTGGTAGTTTTACTCATTTTAATGTTCTGTAAAACACATGGAACGGTCAGCATTACTCATTTAAGGAAATATGTAAAGAAGTAAAAATCATTGCAAATTCAGTTTACTTTATGAAATTAAACAGGTCCCAAAAAAAATCAAGCAGTAATGAAAATGTGCTTTTAGCTATATGCTATTTTAAGACAACATTGTACAATTGATAACTTCTGTTGTTTAATAATGCATTTTACATAAGTAGCACTATGAAATGGGTCTTCATTCTGCAATACATCTTTTATACATGTTTGTAAAGTGTTTACCATATTTTGAAAAATTCCCATTCTCCACATTAAAGGCCTGCACTTGTAAATAGTTGTACATAAAAGCCAGAGTATTGCCCGAGAAGTTTCCTTCTTTTTTGCACTTGTAATATAACTTTGGACTTAACAAATCCACATTTTGAATCACTGTTTCATTGATCTCAGCTGAAAAAAATACATTGTCATAATTATAATCACAATACACTTCTAAATAATTCTTGAAATGTATGTACTGTCTATTACCCTGAAAATTAAATGGCCGTAAATTCTTAAGATAACACCGATGTAGTACATGCAACTATTTAAAATATTTAATATACTCAATCATAATCATATTTGCAATAGAAGGCCTTTTTTACCTTTTCTTTCTGAAAAAGTTCTATTTCAATTTTGATGGTTTTAAACATTTTACTTCCTTAAAAAAAAAAAAAAAAAAAAAAAAAAAATTCAAATGCTATAATTATAAAAAACTAGAGTAGGGGAATTTTGTTCACTAAACATGTAAGAGAAAAAAAAAAGTTTCTTAAAAAAGTCAAGTGCCTGTGAGGTAATAATTTACTCTGTTTATTTTTGCATACAATAATTTGGGGGGATAAATTTGAAATAAATAAATGTGACATTTATCTTACTTCCAGTCCATACATAACCAAGCTAATCTGGATTAACACCAGTAAATGTGGGTTAACTAATTTCATCCCCACAGCAGGTTAACTTAACCAACAGCCAAAATGTGTGTTAACGTGATCCAAAAACAACTGCAACTTCATTATTTCATGATAATGTCAGATAGTAGAGGGACATTTGCCCACAAGAAGAGTAGGTAATGTGGAAATGACACAGATTAAATTTTGCCACTATTCAACCTTTTGATACACGTCAGATAAACTAAACCCATTGTATGTGAATGACTGCATTGTTGATACTTACATTCCATGGCATCTGGGATCTTCACATCGGCGAACCAAGATATAATGTTAGATTTTCCATTCATGATTTCAAAATTAAATGTTAAGGATTTAATTTCTCCATCTTTTGGTGTGATAGTGAGACTGGAACTGTTGTCATTTCCACTGGCACATGTTCCTGTGACAGTGACATTACTGCTCACTGGAACATTCACAACTGTATTGGTCTGTAATGGAAGAGAACTTATTACCATATTTAGTTCTGGTCACTTGACACTTAACAAAATGGTCACAATACACAGTTGACATCATCTCATCCTTGCTTTAAGAAGTTTCTTGCATATTCTTTATACAAGATTTCTATAACCTCTGCACACTTTCTCGAGAATAGCCAATGTACACAGGTAAAATTGCAACATATGTTCAACATATGTTTCGAGTAACATATGTTGAACATACGTTGTACATATGTTGACCATATGAATTTTCGACAGTATGTTGAACATATGTTTAAAACGTATGTTGAACATATGTTTGAAATATATGTTTAACATATAGCAGGCTCAAACATATGTTGAACATATGTTTGTGGTAACTATATGTTAAACATATGGTTGTTTCAAACATATGTTCAACATATGTTTTGAGTTTCACATAAAATTCAAACTGAACATTATATAATAACCAATAGCCTCTAACATTTATTTCAATTAATATTAAATTAATGTTATCGATATTTGAATTAATTTTATTTTAATTTAACGAGATAAAAAATATGTTAATTTTTAACAAGTCGGGGGTGAGGGTTCCAGCAAATTTTGTAAGGGAGGTTTCCAGGTCGGTGCCCCCAACACTCATGCATAGAATTGCACCATAGGCACTTTAAGCCCATAGCAATATGAACATTTCCTGTAGAATCTTACATAAAAAAGGGGGATGGATTAACTACTCTGTTACCCTGAGCCCCCTCCTCCACTCGTTTCTCCAAATTCAGCCCCCCCAAAATTTGTCTTCTTGAACATTGTATTCCCCAAATTAAATTTATCAAGAATTAATAAATTTGTATTTTACCATGTTTTGTTTGGATTTATTATATGAGTGAAAAAAAAAAAATCATTCCACATTTTATTTCCAGACCGGTTTTGGTTTTTATTGGATGAAAGTGTACATAAGTCATTTCTGATGTCTTATTGCGGCAGAAGTGTTGGGTGTTGGAAACAAGTAAGTGCTCTCAGAGATGTTTTTAGAATTTAGTTCATGGTGTTAAGAGAATTTCTTTAGGGTTACAGATTCATATGAACTTCTAGTACTCTCATGACTTGCATAACATCTAACTGTAGTTGTAATTAATGAAGTTCGTAAAAAGACGATACACCTAGTGATCTTGTCTACGTTATTTTGGATTTGTGTTCGACCAATGTAATAAAGTGCCCCGCCACAGCATGATACGCCCGTCAAATATTGTTCAATTATTATAAATTAAACAGTTTAGGGTGCAAGAAAATCATGTCAACCTTGATTCAAAGATTCCATGATTTTTCCATTCCTTATAATATTTGATGTTTATACATTTCCTGTAGTGCAGGCACTAATTATAATAAATTTTTCAACTGGTTGTCTCATCTGCAGCCCCCTCCCTTTCCCCCCCCCCCCCCCCCCCCCCATCTTTCATATTTATTTGATATTTTCAAAAAATTAAATAAAAATATCATATTAAACAATATCAAAATAGTCTTAACAATTTAATCTATACCAAATTAATTTTGAAAATAAAAGGCTGCATGGCCATTGATTGACATATGCTATAAACTGACAAGCAGTTTTTCTGTCTAATTCCCAAAGGATACAGATAAGAACTGCTTGATGAGAGATGCTCTAACAGAAATGATTGAGACAGCTAGCCTTCCTATACACTGAACTCATTAATTATAATCTTTAACTGGATGCATGTCCATTCATTACTCCCAAGGGATGAATGGATCTGCACTGTCTGCTTTAATAGTCTGTATTGTAATAAAAATGCATATTTATTTAATTTTGTTGTAATTCTGTTGAAAACAGAGAATTTTTTTTAAATTTGTTACAAAGATTTATAAAAAGAAACAAAAATTTGTGTAATCTTGATGCAATATTTTTAATAAGGTTACTGCATAACTCTTAGATTTGTAGGAACTATCTACCATAAAACATTTTTTTAAAAAAAATACTTGATTTTTTTTTAGAGATTGAATGTCAGACTGGTTTTAAGCTGCAGTTCACATTGACAACAGACAAACCGACATGCTGATTCCAATACCACCCCCCCCCCACCCCCCCCCCCCCCCACCCCCGTAAAGTATATAATGAAAAAAATAAATATTTTCTTGAATTAACATTTTTTTCAATAAGGATACTGCAACATTCTTACATTTTTGGGGATTGTGTAATTTAATAGTATAGAGACACAGTTTTTAAAAAAAATTTCACTAAATTAAAAGTCACAGTGACCTTGAAATAGGTCGTGACACACCTTCTACCTAAGATGCATATATTGGCCAAGTTTGATGATTCTAAGTCTAATAGTTTTCTAGTTATGAGCCGGACAGGATTTTTCCATATTTGGCCATAGCATCTTAATTAAAGGTCAGAGTGACCTACTTTTAATGCGCGACACACCTTCTACCCAAGACATATCAGCTGATAAAGTTTGATAATTCTAGGCCTAATAGTATTAAAGTTATGACTTATGAGCCAGACACGAAAAAGCTAACAGACAGACGGACGGACGGACGGACATGAAGGCTATAACATAATACGTCCCGTCTTAAGACGGGCATATAAAAACCATTTAGTATTACTAATTTCTCAGATTTGTTTTCCTTTTGTTAATACAAATGTAGTTACATTTGCATATTTATGTACGATCTTGACATGAAAGTGAAAGTAGAAATGTTGCATAGCAGTTTGTATGTAGCCTATGTTAAGTTGGTTATCCATTTGGTTCTTTTATCAAATTATTAATGGAAAATGTTTGTTTTTTTTTATGTATTAAGCAACTGGAGTTCAGTGTCAGAGTGTCGTTTTTATTGAAAGAACCCAAAGCTGTTAAGACTGACGATTCAACCCATAGCTGATTTGACTGAAGATTGCACGATCACATATACAGGTGAAAATAAATACATATAATAATCACAGTAATTACAGGGTGACTCTTTAATAACAAAATATTTCTTGAGAAATTTCTTTTTGCTTCTTAATTCTACACTGATTTACTTTATCAAAAATTAATGAAACTCTTTTTTAAAAATATTTTAAATCTTTAAAATATTGAAGATATTGATATGGATAGAACTTGCTGGCTTTTAAACTATAAAATATCTGAAAGATGCTCAATTTCAGCCTAATCTGGCATTCAAGATAATAGTGTAAATGTATTTAAAGTGCATCAGCTACAGTCCCTGAAACGTTTTACTTTCCCACTTGAACGGTGAGCGAACAGTGAACGAACGCAGAGTGAATGGTGAGTGAACGATGTGTGAACGCTGAACGCAACGTGGTGAACGATGTGTGAACGGTGAATGGTGAGCGAACGCAGAACGCGAACAAAGCGCAAACGCGAGCGCAAAGTGAACGGTGAACGAACGGTGAACGCAAGATGAACCATTTATTCGGAATGCCTCTGATCTTTTCCTTGCATTGAAACTATTCTATTGTATTCTAATTCCTGGTGCTAAAAAATAAATAAATAAACAAATCAATGAAAATTGTCCTAAGAAAGACGATACATGCACATTAAGTAAAATTATTAATTTCAGTTTCTTACAATATTTTCTGCACATATGTACGATGTTTAAATTTAACTTTTTAATAACACGATTTTTATCGATGTAAAACATTGTAATTGTTACCGAACGCTGTTGTATAACAGATGAAATTAATCTAGTTGTAAAATAAATATGTTTATTCTTATTTGATATATAAAACCATTACAAATAATGTGGATTCTAGAAGAGAAAACTATGGACTTATAGAATGAATTACAACGGTTGTAACAACCATACAAGGCGATTCTGTGTAAAATAACGAGAAAAAAATATTTTACTAAGGTATGTGGACGTATTGCCTAAATACACTTGTATTTTAAAATATTTATGCAACAATATATTTATGTGTCCGTTTTATTTTTTATGATTTATTGAGCAGACTTCTACATGTATCCGTAGACATTTCCCAGCCGTGATTATACTCGGACAAGATGATACAAAGAGGCAATCATATTATTTGTTATATATTAAATTTTTGCAACTTGATATTTAAGTAATATGCGGTCATGGTTTTTATTAAACAGATAAATGAGAGAGAGAGAGAGAGAGAGAGATTCGGTTTTAGCCCCCCCTTTCCTCAAATGTTTGTACCTATATCAAACAAAAATTCTTAATTTTTTTTCTAAATATATCAGGCAGTGAAAGTAACCATTTTTTATCTACAAATCCACTTGTTTTACAGCCTTAATCAGTTTTTATTTTCTTGCTTCAAGTTCACACGAAGTCCACGTGCTTGACCTGTCAATCAAAATCATTCGACACTATGCAGGTGTGAAAGTCTCGTCACACCGAAGGCAAAGTGTTAGTCTTTCCAAGAGGTTTTAACATTTTTTCTTATCATTTCTAGATCTGATTCCAACATTTCTAAAAAAAAAAAAATAAATAAATGAATAAAATACATTGGGAATAAACACTTGTAATGAATAAGCCGCTTGAGTTTGAAACATACTCCCTGCCAATTTAAAATATCACCACCAGCACATGTATATTTTGAACTACTTTTGTTTAATGACTTTGTTTAGATGCATGTTTGTTTTGAGACTGAAATTTTTGTGCTACAAAACACATTAAGCCTCTTTTTAAATGCTAATTAAAATGTACTGGAAATACTAACTAAGTAGCCGATTTAGTGGAAAGGGGGGGGGGGGGCTCTTGATAATATCGAATGACACAATGACACACGTATAAAGTTACGGTGAAAAATATCATTACTGGAGAATCACCTTGGTTATATAAATGATAATCATGTTATAAAGGCATTTTTCTCTTTCTAATTAAAGACTTTATATGTAAAGTAGAAAATTTTTTTTTTTAATGTATTACATTATAAACAAATATTTTTTTTGAACAACACTATCAATTTAATTCGCTCTAAAGATATTTAATCAACTGGATATCCGCAGTACTGTTTATCATTATAGAACAATTTCTAACATGTATTTCTGTATTATTTGAAAAAAAATGTGATAGAAATAAATATTTTCATATTTTTGCTGCAGTTGGTAAATTAATTGACTTTGATTATTATCTTTCCATTAACGATTTGTCGTCATTAACATAACAACAAAATGTTGCAGTGTTTGAAGTATCTGTATATTGCCCGCATTTAAATTTAATTTTTCAGCATCGTTCTACATAGGTACATACATGTACTTATAACAACATTTATTTTCCAGATTAATTTTATAAATAACCTAAAAGCTAAGTTAGAATAATAAAAATAAGTATTGTAGATAATTTTTTCCCATGAAATAATGATTCTTTAAACATGATATGTTATTTATTAAATTCAAAACATGTAAATCCTTACTTAAAAAAAAGATAAGTCCTTTCACTTAGGAGTTCCGAATGACAATAAAAACTGAACGATAAGTGAACGTTGAACGCAAGGTGAACGCAAAGTGAACGAACGAAGAGCGAATGGTGAACGCTTTGTGAACGGTGAACGCGAGCGCACGGTGAACGCTGAACGCAAAACTGTGAACGGAGAGCGAACGGTGAACGCACGGTGAACGAATGGTGAACGAACGGAAAAATGGGAAAGTAGAACATTTCAGGGACTGTAATTTATTACTTATTTATATATTAATTGACATAGAATTTTTTTCAACACTAGAGAAACTAGAAACTTGTACTCACTCTCTTTCGAAGTTTCTTTTAAGTTTTGATTGGAATTTGATTAGAAAATATTCACTGTATGAATATCTATTTTACAATTTTTATAGGCTCTCCCTCCCTGCTATGAATAAGATGGAAGAACAGCATGACCCTAAGCTTGCCCCAGAATAGGTAAGTACACCCTGTGTTACAAGCTTTGTTATTTTCTTCCAAACGAAGTTTTGGGATATACTGGAAACAAAATGACTATTTCTCTGCCTGTACTTTTGCCTGTATTTTTTTTTTATATCCAAATATACATTTGTATCTGATTATCCATTTAATATTAATATATTATACTATTTTCAACATTCGAAATTCACTTGTAAGCATTTAGAAAAACTATATTTTTTAATGATTTTATTATCAAGCATATCTTCCAAGAGTGAAATTGTCTTGGACATAACATTATATGGTGTTATACAACACCATATAATGTTTTTTGAAATTAGTTTTAACTCATATCATAACGGATAACTGTTTAGGAGAATGGAGTATGCATTTGTTTGCACATGACAAATATCTTCAGTGTGTGAACTTAAATTACACATAAATTTAATTTGTATTTCAGAGAACCTGTATTAGTCAACAGAACTTTAAAATTGGAGTCTCCACTGTAGTGCCACCCAGTACCTTAACATGTGACAATTTCAGATCCTATGATGAGGTTCCAAGGGGTTGTAAAATGGAAGAAAACAAAGAACAGGCCAAGAAAAAAATTGTAAGTGCTCAAAGTAATTACTCTCTGTGCTAACTAATACCGGTATATATTTATTAATTATAAATGTAATTGGCTTCTTAATTTTTCTTATTTTTTCTTTATCATTTCAGAAGCAATGCAATCACTGTCAGGAAAATAAAGCCAGAATTATGTAAAAATTTGAAAAAATTATTGCTTGAGATTGTGTTCTTTGATTTCTTATTATTAAGTGATTAAAGGACAAGAGGACTATTTAGTTAACTTTACAATCCAAAGAAATACAAAATAATAAATAATTAATGTAAGTAAGAAATAAACTTAACATTTGTTTAACATATGAAAAACATATGAACATAAACATATGTTAATCATATGTTCAAACAAAACATATAAGCAACACATGTTAAACATAATATGTTGACGGTGCGACCGTTGGGGCGAGCGCATTGTTCACTTCATTCGTTAAGATCCGCCTCTTCAAACCGCACATTTGGAACGTCTAGACTGTGATGTCACATGACGTCGTATGTTAGCTGCATTTCCATACACAAAGTTTAAAAAGTGCAAAGATTTTAACAAAGAATGTTTAATCTACTATCTATATGCAATATCCATTAAATTAAGGTGAGTTTATATTGTATGAATTTTTAGTTGTTGTAACCACGCGAAGTTAGCAGCGAGAACAAGAAGCCATGCACTGTGGGTCCAGAATTACTGCGGAAAAAAATTCTACTGAATGAATGTGCAGTAGTCCGAATTTTCTCTTCGCCCAGGCGTTGTCGTTAGAGCTCGCATTGACACTCGCTATGTTTCAGAACATATGTTCAACGTATGTTCAACATATGTTAAACATACGTTGCAATTTTTCCTGTGTACTTTTGTTTTGATTTTTCACTTGTTTTGACAACACCCAATCCGTTAGAGAAGGAGAGTAAATGATTTGTACAAATGTGTAACTTACATTCCTTCATCACAAAGCTCTAAACAGCAATGTGTACTGGATACACACATTGATCCTGATGGATCAATTGAAATTTGATTGTGCTTAGAATTCTGTTGTTAGAATGCAAACAAAATCTTACAGTTGTATTATCCCTTGTAGTGTAAGTCACTTTTAGCTGGAAGCTTCCCTCCATGATGAGACAGGCTGTGGAGTTCTCCATGACTTCGTATGTGGAGATTGGAGGGAATGAAGGAACTGGGGAAGTGGTGGGGGCCATAGATGTGGGTGCAGTGGTGGGGCCCTCCGTTGTGACATTAGATGGACCCACTGTTGTTACATTTGATGGACCCACTGTTGTTACATTAGATGCTGATGGTTCTGTTGTTGGTTTAGTGGGTTCTGAGGTCGCCTTTGTTGTCTCTTGTGCTACAGATGTCATCTGATCAGCACTACACACAAACACTGAAGTAAGTGTAATATAAAATTGATTAAAAATATTTACTTTACTTTGCCTAAGACCAACAGCATGAATTATAACACCTACATGTAGCTCCCAGATAGATTACAATATATTTTATGCAAATAATGTTAATAAAACTCTTATATTTATCATAAGAATCTTTTTTACTATAAATTTACCAACCCTTTGATAATTCTTGATTTGTTACTGTGAATATTTACTATTATAATACAATAATGATAACAAGATAAAGTAAGCTGAAGAAGGAAGTGCATCTCTTTCAATGTGGCAAATATTTACTTTCTGGTAATAATAAAGTTGTACCTAGAACAATGCACCATAACCTCATTTTAGTTTCTTTATACATGTATACAGATATAAATTGATACATTGTATGTATTATATAGGTAGTTCTTTCAGTGGATATATGAAATATATTTTAAACAAGGATATTTTGTAAAATACACTGAATAAAAAAAATTAAACCAAGTGAAAGTTTGAAATCTGACTCACATACTTAATGAAGCTTTCTACAACAAGAGGCCCAAGGGCCTTAATGGTCACCTGAGTATAATACAACAATTTAGAAGTTAAATACACTGATAGTTGAAGCTTTGTTGCCCTAAAGCAAGAGAAGTAGGAAGATCAGGATCATCAAAATAATTAGTCTAGTATTCAGTATCAACTCATAAATTAATTTCTAATCTGTCCCCCACTTAACATTATGCAGACTATTAACAAACTATTAGTGCTTCTGTACTATTTTTAAACCCATATTAAGACCTCTAGCATTGACTTCTCTTATGGTCTTTGAAGAACTTTTAATAAGATAAGTTGTTTTTGTCTCATTTTTATTTATCTATTACTTACAGGTCTATCTGTTTATTAAAACTAAGAAAGTACTTTTTTAATTATACGATAAACATTCTTGCATAATTATCTTATTTTATTAACCTTTCAAATACATTATTTACAGTGATTAATTATCAAAGGTGAATGGAAAAGGGGAATAACTTCTCTCAGTAGAATACAAATTAATAGAGCCCTGCCCAGGACCAGAATGCTTAGACCAATGGTCCAGATGTTTAAAAATCTGATAGAAATATGCTTACTCATATCATTTAAACTTTTACTCAGTTTGCTTCCAATATGCCCAGAAGCAGAGAAGAATTTCACAGGTACAATGCATTTTCACTACAGATTCAACAAAGCCTTACCCAACACCAGAACCCAAGACCAAGGGTCAAGAAATTTACAAATTTGGAAGAGTTACCCTCATCATCATAACTATGGACTTCAAAGAATTAACACTTTTCCACTATATTATCAAAAGCCCCCCCCCCCCCCTCGTTATGCCAGAACCCCTGACCCTAGGACCACAAGATTTAAAAATTCTGTTCGAAGCTCCCATTTTCATCATAGCTATGCAATTTATTTATCAGCTCAACACTAAGGAGCAGACAGGATTAATTAATGATTAATAGAATTAATGCTTTTTCACTATATAATCAATAGAGCCCCCCCCCCCCCCTCCTCAAGAACCCCAAAAACTGAGGCCATATATTTAAAAATTTTGGAAGAGGCATCCTTGTCTATCATAATCATGCACTTAGTTTGTTTATATAATCTCCAGTAGCAGAGAAGAAGATTCTCAAAGAATCAATGCATTTTCACTATATAATCAATAGAGCCCCGCCCTAACACCAGAACCCCTGACCCTGGGGCCAAGAAATTCACAATTTTTGAAGAGGCATCCTTATGCATTATAACCATGTACTTAGTTTGTTTAAATAATACCCAGGAGCAGAGAAGAAGATTTTCAAAGAATTAAAGCATTTTCACTATATAATCAATAGAGCCCTGCCCTAACACCAGAACCCCTGTCCCAGGGGCCATGGCTTTCACAATTCTGGCAGAAGCCCACCTCCTCATCTTAACTATGTACTTAGTTTATCACCTTATTGCCCAGGAGCAGAGGAGAAGATTTTCAAAGAATTGATGCATTTTCACCATATAGTCGATAGAGCCCCGCCCTAACACCAGAACCCCTGACCCTGGAGCCATGAAATTCACAATTTTGGAAGAGGTACTCTTGCTCATCATAACTATGTACTTAGTTACTTTATTTAATATCCAGAAGCAGAGAAGAAGATTTTCAAAGAATTAATACATTTTCACTATATAATCTATAGAGCCCCGCCCTAACACCAGAACCCCTGACCCTGGGGCCATGAAATTCACAATTTTTGAAAAGGCACTTTTGCTCATCATAACTATGTACTTAGTTACTTATTTTAATACCCAGGAGCAAAGAAGAAGATTTTCAAAGAATTAATGCTTTTTCACTATATAATCTATAGAGCCCCGCCCTAACACCAGAACCCCTGACCCTGGGGCCATGAAATTCACAATTTTGGAAGAGGCACTCTTGCTCATCATAACTATGTACTTAGTTCCTTTATTTAATACCCAGGAGCAGAGAAGAAGATTTTCAAAGAAATAATGCATTTTCACTATATAATCTATAGAGCCCCGCCCTAACACCAGAACCCCTGACCCTGGGGCCATGAATTTCACAATTTTGGAAGAGGCGCTCTTGCTCATCATAACTATGTACTTAGGAACTTTATTTAATACCCAGGAGCAGAGAAGAAGATTTTCAAAGAAATAATGCACTTTCACTATATGATCTATATAGCCCCACCCTGGGGCCAGAACCCCTGACCCTGGGGCCATGAATTTCACAATTTTGGTAGAGGGCTCCATGCTTATTACAATGATGCCAACAGTTTGACTGCTTGATGTCCAGGAGTAAAGAAGAAGATTTTTAAAGATTGCATTAATTTTGGTGGTTTTAGCCCCACCCCTCAGGCCCCAGGGGGGCAGGGATCATGAAATTCACAATTTATGTTCCCCTTCACCCATAGATGCTATATACCAAATTTGGTTGAAATTGGTTGAGCGGTTCTAGAGAAGAAGTTAAAAATGTTCAAAAGTTAACGCACGACGGACGACGCACGACGTCGGACAAAAACAGATAGCAATAGGTCACCTGAGTGACTCAGGTGACCTAAAAATGCAATGATGAATGACTGCATCTTTACTTAATATGTAAATGTCTCCTAAAAATGCTTGTTTGCCCATGAAATATGTTTGCTATACATATAAGTAATACAATAAAAATCTATCTTGTTAAAAGTTGCAACTATTTTATCAAAACACAGAGATGGTTGTCCGTGTGGAACAAATCTAATGGAGTGCATGGGAGTAAGCTTCTGTTCTGTGAGGGGAGGGAATGGGAAATAGCCAAAGTCTCAGGTGTGGAAATCTGGGCTGAGTATTATCGTCTAACCGTCAGAGCTGAGGGTTCCATTCTTTATATTAAAGGCCTGAATCTGTACGTTAGACATATCCATGTACATTGTAAAAGTGATGCCTTCCAGCTTCCCAGTCAAGGTCATTCTCTGGGAGGATTCACACCGGTATAGCTTGGTGTCTTCTCCAAGTTTTAAGTCTCCAGTGTCCAACAAACTTATTGCAGCTGAAATTTTTATTAAGTAATATTTTGTAATGAAAATGGATAAAGATAAGAATGGTAACCATGTCTTGTTGTAGTTGTAGAATGTAGATATTTATCAACACGATGTGCACTATAACATCTTACTTGCTATGGGTGTTCCTGGAAAGAATTCAAATGGACCAAATGTAAACATCGAACTCATGTTCACTGATAAATCAGTTTGAGCATTGAAAGTCAAGGTCAACAAATCTTCATTTGAATTTTTCAGATGTAACACTGCCTGATATTCTCCTAAAGTTGCACAATCCCCGCTTGTCACAGTGAAATTATTTCCATCAAATTTTACTGTTTCATTTCCATTACTCAGAGTAAACATAACATCCATCTTCACATCAATACAGGTTTCGTTGTTGTCATATGTGTACTTATATTCTGATCCTTGTGTCAGTGATAATGCTTGGTGAAAATGTCAAAATAGCATATAAAAACCTAATTCACTTTGTAGTTATTTTTAAAAGAAACAGTTAAATGTTTACTATTATAAAAAAGTTAACATATTCTTAAATATAAACTAGACATTAAAAAGTAAAACACAGTTTGAACAGCCCCTCCCCTTCACAAACACCTACACACACTCACCCTTACGTGTACAACCGCAATTCTCACTACACGAGGTTTTACACCTGAAAGTCACTACACTATGTTCTAGCAATGCTAACAAGATAAACAGACCATAACTGTGATTCTATGGGTCTTTGTATATGCAAATGAGGTTCAGAAAGATGATAATTCAAATAATGAAAAAATGATTTTTCACCTAAAAGTCACTACATTTGGTCACGTGATTTTGCTCAATCACACACCGGAAGTTGACAAGTCACTACATGGCTTTACCAGGACACACACAGGAAACTCAGTACATAAACACTCTTGTAAGATATTATACAAGAAAATCATTACATTCAGTAAATTTTGAATGTGTTTCCCGTAAAAACACCAATTTTTCCAAAAAGTTGTCGAAAATATGAAATGGGGTTCGTTTATATGAGAATAATGACAAACGCCATGCTGTCGTTGTTGATAAATATATTCACTCTCAGTATAATCAGTATTATCACAGCTCTGAAATATATATAAACAATCATAAATATTTTATAACAAAGCATACATGTAGATCACTTGCCAGATAGCACGGTCAAATGAAGAGTTATTTCCCTTTAATTGTGCTCATAGATAAAACATTAAGAGTTATCTTTCTTAATCAATAATATGTACAAAGTATGAACACTCTGGAATATATAGATAAAACAATGAGATCAAATTATACTGAACTCTTCCAGAATAATATAATTATATTGACAATATACAAAATATATATACATCATACCTATATGTGATATAGAGCCATAACTCCAATATATATATATAGCTGAACACAGCTGTACTCTATTCAGTGATCTGTGTATGAATAATATAAATATAACTTTACTATATTACACACTTATTGTCACAGATATAAAATATACTTATTACTCTGAATATTTACAAAGTCATAAAATAATCACACAAACTGAACTTTCATACTTTATATTAGAATATTATTATTTGGTAATTTAGCAGATAAACAATTAAGTAGAGATAATGAAATTAGTAAAAGTAAACTTACATTCTGTCCTGTCTTGGTCATTGTCATAAATAAGTCATCATAATATCAAAAAGCCAATATGTCTACTCAGACCAAGATCTCCAACAAAAGTAATTAACTAAGTAAAAACCAAAAGAGAGGGAAACTAACCAACCAATGAAATCCAAGTTGGCCTGGACACTACACAAGATATATATAGAAAGGGACAGGGGTTTAAATGACCACTGTGATGTCATACATCTATAAATAACTAAATAAACACAGATTGATGTAAATAATTCCATGTGGATTTATTCAATAAATGAAATGCTGTAAAGAAATAAATATGACAATTTAACTGAATTAATTTAATCCTGAAATATAATAATTAATACATAAAATAAATCACTCTATCACATACTTCCCCTCTTCGTGAAATGACGTCCTCGTCATTTACTATTTCATAAAGAAATAACGACTGTAAAATAAAATCAAATCATATGAAACATAGAATATCACTGAAAATTTATTTATACTTACCAAACTGACTGACTGACTTAATGTACTTATCTTAACTAATTCTTACCTGTAATAATATCTATCAGAGCCTTTTCTACCAGTTCTTTACTGTTGTTGGAATGAAATACATTGCTGGAAGCTAATGTCTGCAAATAATCAGCCCTTGTCTTCCAGTCTGGTTGTTGTTTTGCTATCTGTTGGTTTACTATATAGTCTCCACTAGTGATCCATGATGTTGTTTTCTTTACTCTTTTAGATCTTCTTGGTACAGTCTTTGGTATCTGTTGTTCATCAGCTGAGTCTTCATCAGAATTGGTATTATCCAAATCGTCATTATCAGCTTCTGCTTCTTGTTGTGTATCTGTAGACTGTTCTGTTTCCTTCATATCAGTGTCTTCTGTAATGGTAGCTACTGAAGTACCTGTGTCATCAACATGTTCAGCAGGTGAAGGTATTCCGGAACTACCCTCATCTTCAGCGCTCTCTTCTTCATTGGCCAATGTATTCTCCTGTGGGTTACTTTCTATCCCAGAAGCAGGTGTACTAATCTTGCTGTGAGCAATAGGTGCTGCTTCATGTACTAACATTTCTTCATTACTGCTCTCTGAGTCACTATCCTCATGTTGTGAGGTACTCTTCTGTTTGGATCTTCTTGTGACTCGAGGTTTTGTTAATTTCCTAGGTGCTGGCTTAGGCTTTTCTGTCAGTAATTCAAAATCTAAGTGTCCAATTGGTAGTAAAAGGTTCCGATGTAAAGTTCTTATACAGGTGTTGTTGCTTTCTTTTCTTACAATATACACTGGAACTTCTTTGTTTGGTTGACTCTGCACTATATATGGCTCTTCCTCCCATTTATCAGATAATTTATGAGTGCCTTCGAATGCAACTATCTTGACCAATACTCTGTCTCCTGGCTGAATGACAGCATCTCTTGCCTTGATGTCATAATTCTTCTTCTGTCTTCCCTGGGCATTTTGGATAGATTTCTGTGCCAAATGGTAAGAATGTTCCAATTTAGATTTCAAAGATTTTATGTAGGAATTCAGGTTTTCGTGTTGATTTGGTCCATCTGTTTTGAAAATGAGATCTATTGGAAGTCTGGGTTCTCGTCCGAACATAAGAAAGAAAGGTGATTGGCCTGTTGTTTCCTGTTTCATCGAATTATAGGCATGAACTAAAGTTGAAATGTGTGACTTCCAATCCTGTTTTTGGTAATTTTCAAGTGTTCCTAACATCTTTAGAAGAGTCCTGTTGAAACGTTCTGTTAAGCCGTTGCCCATTGGGTGGTATGGTGTTGTTCTCGACTTGCTTACTCCAAGAATGTTGCAGAGCTCCTGTATGATTTTGGATTCAAAATTTGCACCTTGATCACTATGTAGCCGCAAAGGTATCCCATAATGGACGATGAAATGATGAAATAATGCCTCAGCTGTGGTTTTGGCCGTTTGGTTCCTTGTAGCTACAGCCTGCGCAAATCTAGTAAAGTGATCGGTGATGACCAGGATGTTCTCATATCCTCCTTTTGATTTTTCTAATTTAAGATAGTCTACACACACCAGTTCTAGAGGTTGCGATGTTCTGATATTAATGAGTGGGGCTCTGGTTGGTGTCGTTTTTCTTAGAAGGCATCTCCTGCAGTTTGAAATGAAATGTTCCGTGTCTGCTGTCATTCCTTGCCAATAAAATCTATCTCTAATTAAACTGATGGTTTTCTCGCGGCCAGGATGTCCCAAGTCAGTATGAAGATGATACAATACTGTTCCAATACATGATCTAGGTAAAATTATCTGTGATTTCTTTTTCTCATTCACTGTTGTTTCTCTAATGAGGATCCCATCTCTTAATCTAAGTTTGTCAAAATTCTTGTGAAGTAAAGCATGGTACTGGATGTTGTTGTATGGTAAATGGTGTTTTGCTGGCTTGTACCGATCTCGCACGTATGGTATCCAGAATCTTAGCACTGGGTCGTTGTACTGATGACGACGAATATCAACCTCTGTCTGATCACTCAAGTCTGGTAGGTTGTCAACTGAAGATGGAGATATGGACAAGCATTGTACATAGGGATCATTGGATACAGTTGAGTTGCATATGGTCTTAATGGAATCGGATGTTATGATTTCTTGGTTTGGTATCCTGCTTAATCCATCTGCATCTGCGTTGTGTGATCCAGGTCGATATAATATTTCAAAGTTGAAGTTGGCGAGATCAGCAATCCATCTTTGGCTTGTCGCATCAAGTTTCGCAGATGTTAAGACATAGGTGAGTGGGTTGTTGTCTGTATAAACCTTGAATGTTCCTCCATATAAGTAATCTCTGAATTTCTCGCATACAGCCCACTTTAAAGCCAGAAATTCCAATTTGTGGACAGGATAGTTCTTTTCTGATTTGGACAAACTCCTGCTGGCATAGGCTATAACCCGTTTGAATCTGTCTTGCGGCTGATATAATACAGCGCCAATGCTTGATGATGAGGCATCTGTATGTAACTCAAAGGGTAAGGAGTAATTTGGAAATCCTAGAATTGGATAGGTTGTAAGTTTCTCCTTTAGTGTCTTGAAGGCTTGTTCCTGTTCACTTCCCCATCTCCACTTGTCTGATTCTTTTGATGTTCTTATTCCCTTTCTAGATTTCTTCTTGGTATTTGGTAGAAGGTCATTCAATGGGCGTGCTATTGTTGAAAATCCCTCAATGAATCTCCGGTAATAACCAACGAAACCCAGGAATTGGCGAACTTCATCTGAATTTCTTGGTTGCGGCCAGTTCTGTACCTTGCTGATCTTTTCCGGGTCTGGTTCTATCCCCTCTTCACTAACAATGTTTCCTACATATTTTACTTTCCTTTTGAAAAATTCGCATTTCTTTGGTGACAGTTTCAGATTTACTTCCCTTAGTCGTTGAAAGATCTTTTCCAACCGCTCTAAATGCTGTTCATATGTTTTTGAGAATATTATCAAGTCATCCAAATAGATGAAGCATATATCAAGGTGGAGTCCTTCAAAACATTCCTCCATTAGCCTTTGGTATGTAGCAGGTGCGTTGACTAGACCGAATGGCATGCGATGATATTCGTAAAAACCTAAGGGTCCAACAGTAAACGTAGTTCTTTCCTTGTGACTTTCATGTAACTCAACTTGATGGTACCCACTTTTCATATCTAGTATGGTAAAAAATCTATTTCCTGCTAACGCATCCAAAATTTCTTCGATTCGTGGTAATGCATATGAATCTTTCTTTGTCCTAAGGTTTAACTGTCGGTAATCTACACACATGCGCAGTTCGTTGTTTTTCTTCCGACAAAGGACAACATTAC